CTTGATCAGTGCTGCGATCCGAGAACACTCGAAAAGCAATGCTTCAAAATTTTGTGTATCAAATGTAATCTCTTTAGCTGGAACCAGTTACTGTATATTCTACATTAAACTATTGGGCCACTTTAGTACTCCCCTCATTGCACTCAGAATTCAAGCACTCAAAGTTATTGATAGGTTAAAAATGATCCTATTTAATAGAGATAATTAATTTTGTACCCTCTTGCTTGAGAAAGAAGGGAAAGGAGGATAATATTCCTCCATTCCTTCCTCCATTTTCTGATTGATTCAATAAATGCAAGTGGACTGTAGTTTTATTCTTTTACCTCAGTGTAAACAGAAACTTCATTATTTGCCACATACCTTTGCTTGCCTTGCTGTCAAGTAGCAAAACAGAACTGCGACGCCTCCGATTTGTAGGTTGAGGACACGTTGCAACTGAAGGAGGCAGAGGAGAAGAGGTGGGAACAATTATTCTTTACAATAAGAAGATAACATTCAGCACTAGTTCCTGTGAAGATAAAGCAGCTCATAGAAAGTTCACTTTAGAGCTGGGAAGGTGTAGTAGGGGAGAAAGCATAGCTCAACTCTTCATTGGGTCTGAGTTGAAGGGCTCACAGTTGAAGAAGTCAAAGAGCATCTCCAGCTTTTTCATGTTTTGCTGCACTCTTTTTCCCTTTGAAATGAAATGATAGGAAAAAGCAGGAAAATACCAGTGGAGGATTAGAGTGGACACTTCCTAAAATCATAGGAATAAAGTAGAAATCCTGCATTATAATTCCCTCCTCTAGAACCACCCTGAGAAACAGTGATTTGTCCTACAATTTGAGTAATCACTTGGAAGAGGATTTTGGAACCATTACATGCATTTTAAGAACCCAATGGCCAATATTCTGTCCTTGAAATGCTGAAACACACTTCTCAGGTGTGAGGAAAACAAATCCTTAGAGGGGTGGGACATTTTAGCAAAAAAGAATCACAAAAGGAACGTGTGCTAATTGGCACATGAAAAAGGCAACCTTGAAGTGTCTGGTTCTCAGGAAGCCTGACCAAGATTTCTATGGCAACCAAACTGATCTGTTTCTTTTATTAAGGCAATAATTCTTTCTTGAATGTAGAAGTAAATTGAGGTTTGGTAATTATGAATATTTATGTTTACATCATTTACTATTTATGCATATGTATGGCTATCATTTTCTCCTCCTTTCTGAAATGTGTAAATATGAGTGAATCTTTTTGTCTGCTGGAGCTTCTTTGACTAATTTCTGGAGGTAGTTCCTACAGGGCAAATTGATAACAATACATTTTGCTTGCTTGCTTGCTTGTTTAATTAATTAATCAATTTCTAAACTGCCCATCTCAACCAAGTGCCTCTGCAGTGAGGCTTGACTATTGTGAATTGATTCCCATATGATTTCAGTAGTATTTGATGGAGCAATGCTCTTCCCTTCGCCTCTAAATGGATTTGAAAAACCTCTGCCATCTCCCAGACATTAGCACCCATTCCCAAAATACCTGATCTCTGTTTGGTATTGAGATTAGTGCTGGTCGTCAGAGCCAGTCCAGCATCTTCAAACACACCCAGATTATTCTGGCCACCGCCAGCTGTACAGCCAAAGTCACTCTTTTCTATTGTGTCCCATATCTA